TTAACTCAAAATTTTATTTTGACATCTAAAAATATTGTTTCAATTTAATTAAAGCTTTAGAATGATATTTTAGATGATCTTTTGGTAATTTGGTTATGTTTTGAAATAGTAAATTTTTGTTTAGTAGTGTTTATGTTGCATACTGTTGAGAAATTTTGATAATTTCTAAACTCAGTCTAATTATACTTTAATTAATGAAATGCATAAAAAATATGAAAGAGATCTGATGTGATGTCGGTGCTAGTGAGTGACCAAGGTGGGATACTATTATGAAAGCGCCAGTGTGCGATTGAGGTGAGATTCTATTATGCCAGTTCCAAGGGGCGACTGAGGTGTGATTCTGTTATGTCGGTGCAAGTGGGTGATAGAGGTGGAATTTTGTTAATGAAGCAATAAAGCTATATAAAAATTTGGGCCGATTGCCATTTTGATAAAATGCATATCTACTTATAATTCATTTGGTTGTAGTCTTAGCTTTAGCTTTAGTTCCATTCTCCGTTTTATGGACAAAACTTTTACAACTTAGTATTTTTGGTTCTTTTAGTTTTAGTTATTAATTCTTGTTTTAGGCTGTGATAGCCTACTGAGCCGTGTTAGCTCATTCCTTCTTTTATTTATGTTTTTATGTCAGGGGAAGGGTAATGAGCGAGCTGAGTAGTTTGGATAGCGGGCTTTGATCTATGTTGTAGATATGTTTTGTTAGTTTTGATTTTTGCAGCTTGGCTTTTATTTTATTATTCTCTTTGTTGCTAAATGTTGTTGTAGATAGATTATATATATAATCATTTTGAAATTCAATAGGCTTTTGCTTTATATTGCATTTAGTAGTGGCTCTGTGTAGTATATAAATTTGAATTTTTTTTCAGTACTTTTACAACTAGATCTTGGGGTTAGTCTTGCCACAATCAGACACGCTATGACCTGTGCAACTGTAGGTCATATCGGGTCTGGTTGTAACACTTATTGTGGATCAAGATTTGGATGTGTCGCGATCAGAGGAGGCAATGCTGAAAGTAGAAGAAATATTGTGGGGAGAGTTGTTGAATTAGGCTTCCAATACAACTCTACAAATATTTGGAGATGTTGTATTTCGGGAAGTTGTAGATAAAAGAATAGCCATTGACATATGGAGATAGTAGAATCCTTGTATTTTAAGATTTGTTCGGCCAATCTTTTGTATCTCAAGAAGAAATTGTATACATTGCAAATGGAGGAGTGGAGGACCTCAAATACTTGAATAAGAATATGGATGATCTATATCGAATAGTTTTTTATTTGATTCGAAAAGCACAAGTATGAGAACAGAAGATGAAAATCAAGCAATTATTCTCCTAAATTCATTACTAAGTAGGTATGAACATTTTGTTGATACTATACTTTATGGAAGGTTTTTTAGGTTACCTAAATTTAAAAGAAATATTTAAAAAGGCGCTTTAGTAACAATGACAACTGTGGTAGAGCAACACTACAACGATATGCTTGGGAAGGAAAGCAACAATGCAACCTATAGTCAGTTGCAATGTAGCCTTCGATCAGCGGTGTGGCAACATCAACAAGGGATTCATAGGATAGCCACACATGTAGAGACAAACAATGGAAGGAAAGAGACAATCAATAATGTAGGGGAATTCAATTCATGGTAGAGAGCTATTAAGACCCAAACTAAGCCTACATGGGATGAAGAAAAAAGGAAAAAAGGCCGAGGAAAAGATAAGGATAGGAGATTATATTCTTTTCTGTTTCTAGTTGAAATTTTTTAAGAACCCTTGGCCTTTAAATGGGAAATAATAGCAAGGATTGTTATAATCCATTTGGTGAATAAAATTCACAAAGAAAGAAACCTAATCTCTTAACACATCACAATGGAGAAGAAGAATTCATGTAGCTAATTCCACGTAGTGGGATAAAGATTTGTTGTTGTAAAGAAAGAAACCCAATTTGTAATAAAATTTAAATTAGTTTGAATTAAATGATAATTCTTCATGAATAATGTTATATGTTCTTAAATTTAAATATATGCTTATCCAACAATTATAAAATTATAAATTTGTTGTATGTAGTGTGGAATTTGTTCTAACAGTTCAACTTCCTAAGCCTTAATCTTTCTTGATGAAATCAAATTGGCAGTTCCAACACGCCAATGGACTCCTATTGACAACTTCGATCTCAATGGTATGATTGTGAATCATCATCATTAACAATATTTTTGAAAAATCAGGTTCTTAAAATTTCAATGAACGTATTTTCTCTAATATTGAAATCATGATTATAAACAAATTTTTTTCACTTTTTACTCAAACTGATTCCCAGGTCATAAGAATTGTGATTTTTATCTAATTTTAGAAGCTGCATGTTGCTTATGCTCACCATAATCAATCATCAAGATTAACCTTATCCAGATTATTTTGGGCTAGCTTAAAAATTATCATTATCTATTCATCCCTTTGGATTGTTGCATAAGTTGTTAAAAATATTGTGTAAATTTTTTATACGACCTCTACCTAAGTTATCAGGTTTATTTTTTTATTTCCCATTTTTTTAAATTATTTTCTTCTACATCATATTCTTGCATTTTTTAACCTTTGTTGTACATTTTAAAATTGTCTATTTTTCACTAATAAACTATACTCCCACATCTCTCTAATATTATTATTTTCAATATATTCTTCCAAATTTAACATTTCTATCATAACATTCTCATTTCTACTAATCAGCTTGTCTTCAATGATTTTTTTGCTCCCCCTCCCCCAAATTAAAGTCAATATAATATAGGCAGCATAATTATAGTTTTATAAACATAATCTTTAATTCTCCATGATATTATTTTTTCCATTTCATCTACCTAACATTAACTATAGAAGGTATATCCTCGTCAAAATTGACATTCTTTCGTCTAATAGATCCAAGATATTTAAACGACCAAATCTATATATCATTTTATTTTCTAGTAATATTGGCTAATGATCAATAAAATAATACAACAACAACAACAACATCAAGCATTTGTCCCACTGCGTGGGGTCGGCTACATGAATCGTTTTTCTCCATTGTGTCATGTTAAAAGTTAAATTCACGTTTAAATCTAATAAGAAAAGATCATTTCTAATATTTTCTAACCAAATCTTTTTAGATCTAACTCTACCTTTCTAAACATAAGTCAAATCTAATACCTCTACTTTCCTAACCGGGTCATCGGAAGGTCGTCATTTTATATATCAATAAAATAATATTCATTAAAATTGCATATTATATATCACCCTTTGTTCACTTAATGCTTTTTATCATCTAAATATACAAAGGTCAAAATATATACTTAAGCTAAAGCTCTTTTTTATTTTATATAAGCTTTTTAAGACTATAAATTAAGCTTTTATATTTGTCTAAGGCTCTAAGCTAGTCCTTCAACTGTTCAAAGTATGATCTGATCCTTTTTTTTCCGGTTAGTAGGAAACAAGGGAATGAATATTTCGTGAGGATAGAAATTTGACACTTTTGCATGTGCATCTTACGAAATTTTTTGGTGGCATCCTGCTCTTCACAGCCCTTGCTTGGCCAAACTCTTTAACTGTCTTCTAGTTGAATAATTTAATTTTGAATATTAGTTCAAAGCATTATGCATTCATTGTTAATAAGATCTAAAATCCAACAGGAATGAATAGATAAGCGATTAGAAAATTGAACAGGAATTGTCATGATAAGTAAGTCGACTATGATAAGAAATGCAGATATAGAGAAAGATTCAAAGAAAAATATTAGGATAAGTTTGCCTAAAATGATATTTGATGATTGCTTAATCTTTTGGCTATCCCCGTCATCTTTTAAGTGATTCATGAGGAGGCTACCCAATAGCAGTAAAAGAAAAACATTGTTCTAGTCATGCTTAAATTTCACAGCCTTCATTCTTTATTATTTCCAGGTAGTTTGACTCGAGCCTGGATTAAATTTATGGCCCTCTATAATACTAAGAATCCTTTCTGGTGATCTAAACATAATAATTTCCACTTTAAGTTTATGTTAATAAGATCTATTGCCATGCTATGTTTTTACTTTATCCTTAGAAGGTAAAGTACCAACCTATGATTTTCTCGGTGTTATATTAGGCTTCGTTTGGGACGGCTTTTTTTACTGCTTCTTAAAGCAGCTTTCTAATACAAAAATTTTAATTTCTATACTAAAAAACTATTTTTAGAAGCAAGAAAAAAGATGTCCCAAACGAAACCTTAATCTTCTCATAGCATCATATCATATTAACTATTCCCTGAATTCGTGTTCGAAAATCTTATACTAGTAAATCCCTTTCTCAATCTTTTGGAAAAACTAATAGTAGAACTGCCTACCAATATTCTATGTTTTCATTTCTTGTTTAAACGTACATTGGTCATGAAGTTCAATATCATGGAATTTATATATTAGTTCAAGTCTATTTTCGGTCTTCTTGGCAATGTTGAGTTTTGATGTTTTAATGTTATTCTACATGCCTGACATGATAAAGGATGTTTGTTACTTGTTATGTGTCATTTGTAATAAATAACATCTATATAAGTTCAAATATATTTTCACAATTTCCTCGGATTTTAATAGGTCAATAATAGCTGAATTTAAGGAAAGAGACATCTGGTAATGTAACATTTTCTATTTTGGAGTTGTTTGACATGCATAAATCTAAAGAATATATGCTACTTATCATGTTCTTTCATGACATATATAATTTCAAGTCAACATTCACGATTTCCAAAATTGTACTGCTGTTAATTTTTTCAGAGTTAGGCTTCGTTTGGGACGGCTTTTTTTACTATTTATTAAAATTGTTTTCTAGTAGAAAATTTTTAATTTTTATACTAGAAAGCTGTTTTAAGAAGCAGGAAGAAAGCCGTTCCAAATTAAGCCTTAGTTTCAACTTCTTTTTATTAGCATAGAAACTTTTCTAAGTCATCAATTTCAGTGTTCATCTTATACCTGTAATTTATGATTTGTTATCAAATTTGACTTCCTTTGTATAGATCTTCCACCTAACAAAGTACCCCTTGACTGGAATGCCCGAATGAAGATAGCAGCTGGTGCAGCTAAGGGATTGGAATACCTTCATGACAAAGCAAGTCCTCCTGTTATTTACAGAGATTTCAAATCTTCAAACATCCTCCTCGGCGAAGGATATCATCCGAAGCTTTCCGATTTTGGATTAGCAAAACTCGGTCCTGTTGGCGACAACACTCATGTTTCAACACGCGTGATGGGAACCTATGGATATTGTGCTCCTGAGTATGCCATGACTGGACAGCTAACACTCAAGTCTGATGTCTACAGCTTTGGTGTAGTCTTCCTTGAACTCATCACAGGACGGAAAGCAATCGATAACACTAGGGCCGCCGGAGAGCAAAATCTAGTTGCATGGGTAGGTTCTCTAACGTGCAAATGCTTCCAATTCATGATTGTTTTATCTAGCATTGATACTCAATTGAAATTAAGGGTGTGGATGAGGCGATGCCTTGTTTGAACCTGATATGAATGAGGCGAGGCCTTGTTTGATTCGATAACGATCAAGTTGAACATAGAATGAGCTCAAATTTATTAATGAGTTGAAAAATTTGTTCTTGTTTAACGGAACGGGAACTAAACATGAATAACATGCAAAGTCAATGGCCAGCGTGCTGAAAACTTGTATTTGAAAATAGCCATAAAAGGCTCAAGGCACCTAGCTAATGTAGGATTTTAAGATTCATTGATATATTTGTGTTACTCTGCCTCCCAAGCAGCTTTCCTCTTCCAATTTTTCCTTTTTTGGGTTCAAATACTTGAGTTATATAGAAAACAGTGGGAAAGCAAACAATTAGCCTATTACTTAAACTAAGACTTCATTTGGGACTGCTATTTTACTACTTAAAATAACTTTCTAGTATAAAAATATATTGAAAAGCTGCTTTAAAAGCAGTAAAAAAGCCGTCCCAAATGAAGCCTAAAATATTATCCGCACTTTCTGTTTCTTCTCATGATTCTAATTCTGTTGAATCTGATGCAGGCTCGTCCATTATTCAAAGACCGGCGCAAGTTTCCAAAGATGGCAGACCCGTTGCTGCAAGGCCATTACCCCATGAGAGGCCTCTACCAAGCTCTTGCAGTCGCCGCAATGTGTTTGCAGGAGCAGGCAGCAACTCGGCCTCTAATCGGCGATGTCGTCACCGCCCTATCATACTTAGCTTCGCAAACTTATGATCCAAATGCACCACTCCCCCACACTAGTAGGATAGGGCCTTCTACCCCAAGGCTCAGAGAAGATGGCAAAAACCTTCTCATTGGTTTGGAAAGTAAACATTCTACAGATTCACCCAAGTTAAGACAGAGGGATTCAGTCAAGGTAGAAGCTGTTGGGGAACTTGAGAGCCGGCAAGATTCACCAAGTTACAGCCCAGTTCTTTTGGGGAAACCAAGAGACTCCGATCCTGATAGAGAACGAGCCATTGCAGAAGCCAAGGTATGGGGAGAAAATTGGAGGGAGAGAAAGAAAGGAAATGCAGGGAATTTTGATAGTACATATGAAGAAGAAGAAGAAGATTATTAGCATTCAAGCTTTGTTGTGCGCTCCGTACTGTTCATCTTCCTCTTTTGGCAGCCATTGATAGCTTCCCTTTTTGCTCAGTTTCCTCTCTTGTGAATAAAATTGTTTACTTGTGTCAAATCCATCATTCTTCTTTCTCTTAGAATCCTTCAGATCAGATCAGATCTTTCTGTTTCTTGTGGCATTTGAATGGATGTGGTGTCCATTTAAATGATCTGCTTGTCAATTGGCTTTTGAAGCTAATGTTGAAGATGAGAGGGTCTCATTTTTTGGTGTATAATTACATCTGTACATTTAGCTCAAAATCATGACTAGTGAAGGGAGTTTGCCTTTGCTTCTAATCTTGCTTGGGATTTTGTAAGCCCTCTTTTGTTGCTTGTAATGGTAAACATATTTTTTTAAAAAAAAACTCTTATTCCTTTTACAATTATCAAAATGAATTCAAACATTTTAAATAAATTGTTTTTTTCTTCACTATATTTTTTAATTTATATTCTCAAACAACTGTTAAATCTATCCAATTAAATGATAGAATTTAGATAATTCAATCTTTATTTAAGGCATGCTTTCAATCCCCAAATAGCTCTATGAGCCTTTAATGATAAATTGATTTCATGAGCTGCAATTTCTCAGCCTTTCAATTTTGTTTATTTTAAATGTATGTCTTTTTTATTCATAATATCTAAAATAAATAGGCATGTTTTTTTTCTAATTATTTTAAATTTGTTACTTTTAAACAAAACTTAATATTGTTTTTTAAAGAAATTCCTTGATAATGGTTTTTTATTTTTTAAATGAAAATAATACTAAAATAACTCTTAAAATGATTTGAGATCATTTTGCATCCCACTTGGGAAGGAAGCATAGCATCACTTGCAAATTTATCCATTTTCAAGTAGTGCCATCAAATTAGTATGTAATGTTTAATGTTTGAATATGATACTTTTTAGGGAAGTCTCAACTCCAGTTATCACTTATAGAAAATTGATTTTATATATCTTATAATTTACAAAATTGACTACATATGTTCATTGTTTATTTTCTTAAAAATATATATATATTAGAATGTTGCTTTTGGGTCCAAATACCAATTGAGATGGGAATATAAGAGATTCTATTTATTAGTATAGCCAAAGATAGAAAAAACATAGTAGTTAAAACATATATTTTATAACTATGATCATCATCATCATCTTTCAAATAACATTTGTTTTCACCTTTGAGTGGTTTTGATGTAGAATAAGAAGGTTGTGACAAAATTTTGATTTGTTATGGCATAAATAGATGTTTCATGACATAAATATAGCATTTCATGACACGAATCCAATTCATAAATACAAAATGAATTTTGAGGTACTTTTAATTGGAGTATATATATATATATATATATATATAGTCGATCATTACGTTGCAAATATGACAAAAAGAAAATGATGCACATTATTTATTTATAGAAAGAATATAAGGGCTATCAATTTATGAGTTTATATTTTTTAAAGTTATTATACTGCTATTATCAATATGATAGAAATTTATTATCATCAAATTTACATCACTATTTTCCAAATATGGAAAGTAATAATTTTACTATTATCATGCAAAAATAATAAAAAAATTTGAAATTTGATTTCAATTATCTCCATCAAATCTGGATTAATCAATAAAGAGTTCAATAACCGTGAAGGCATTGATATGAGATTATGCACTTTCCAAATAGGCATAGACATATAAAGGAGGGGCATAAAAATTTTGGCATTTCCTCTCTCCTATTAAATTTATTGATATAATATAATGATGGAAGGTTGGGATGCTTCATTCACATGAAATCAAGGAACTCAGTAATTAAACAATCAACCAAATCTACCAATCAAATAATGAGATCAAGAGCACATAGATTAATGAAGTGGTCATTCTTTGTAAAGAAATTATGTTTATTTTTGTTTCAAAATATTGTACTAAATGTGGGATAAATAAATAATTGTTCTAACATAGGAGCTGTACACTTGGTTAAATTATGTTGAAGTGTTGTTTGTGTGCAAAAGGTAGAATTTAGTGGTTCTCTTCTTCATGAAGATTTTGCTAAGTCTTCTTTCTAAAGTATCTTTATAATCATTTATGACATACATCCTTTTTCTATTAATGTCTTCCTTATGTTGTCAAGGCTTGCTCACTTCCACAACATCAAATTCTCTACCATAAAGCTTCATTATGTGCTCCTTCAAATGAATAAAGGTTAGTGTTCACATTTTCTTTTTGTTATAAAAGTCATAATTAAGTCATCCATCCATGGTTATAATTGGGAAATAGGAAGTAAGAGAATCATATGATTGAAATGGACAAGCTTCGAATTTCATATTTTGATCCTTATTTGAACTAGGGTTTGATCATTAAATGTAAAATTATGTTCAGAGCAATCCTCAAATAAGGTTTTCATGCCATGAATAAGATTCAAGTGAGTCATGTTTAAATATAGTTCAAATCTCATTCTAATGAGGTTCAAACTATTTCAAACTATGTTTAAACATGGCTTCAAATGTTCGAACATGATTCACTTTTAAACTTGGTTTTTCCTTTTATCTTCTACATAAGGCTTATGACATTAGGAGGCGTGATTATGGGCTCCAAATATTCCCAGCCTCCCCTGCTTTCAGGAGAGTTTTAACGAGTTATGTTCTGAGGTAAATTTCAGAAGGAATATTGGCTTTGAAATAAGACATTACCCAGATATTTCACTCTCATTTTGCAAGGACTTTATGATCTGAGTTATAGTTTTTATAGGCGTAAGCCTCTATAGTTAATTACCCCTCCCGATAACTAGAGAACTTTCGATTAAGGCTAGTCATCAAAACAGATATGTAGAAAATACGTGGTATCTAGTGTATAGTAGCAACAACGATTTTTTGTGTTTGAGAGTTTATTATTTAAGATTGAAAATTTTGTCATCTTGCACTTAAAGAGAATGGTGGGGGAATGGTGATGAGCCTGATCAAGATCTCATGGTTCCAATATCCTAGGCTATCATGATTTCTTGTCTACTTAGTCAGAGGAGATAGTTGACCCAACCTAATAGAAGGATCATTGTCGGTAGCTATGAGTTTCTTCATCCAAGGGTATCTTGTAGACCTAGGATGGATATTTGTAGAAGGGAACAAATTTGAATCCACCTTAGCTAAAAGAGGGAATTGTGCCCTATCAATTATATCCTATTGATTCATATATCAAGGATTTAATATTATTGGGGAGCATATGGGCTTTGATCATGACTGCAATTTAGTGGTGCTATTTGACAGCAAACCACCCGATTCAAAGGGGCTCGGTTATAACCGTTTACTTGCAGCATTTGGCTGCAAAACCACCAATTGAAAATATGTGCCACATCATTACTAATAGGAGACAAATTGAGAATGAATCCTAGTGATATTCTCGACTAGACACTAGCTCTTTGTGAGCGGAAGTGTATTTTCAAACTTGCCACATCGACAAATTATTGCGGAGGATGGATGTGTTTTGCTTTAAGTATTTGATGATTGATTTCAATTTTAAATTATTTTTAATTTTGGTATCTTGAATTTTCATTAGTCTTTGGGAGGCATTTTGAATGCTTGGAATTAACCCTTTATGTTGAGATCTAGGTTCAACATGACTATCATTGGGGAGATTATAAGGTCATTTGAAAATATTCATATTTTATAGAAATTTGAGAGCATTTGAAAATATATAGTCCCATCTAATTGAGATAAACATTCAACATTGTCATCATCGGAGTATTCATGGGTACTTTTATTTGGTTGAACCTTGTCGACTATGTCTAGTTTTTGATATAGGATCAGGTTCGTAGTAGGCATTGCGCATTTGTTAATGAATTTACGTTATAATAGGCCTCGAATGTCTAATATGAACGTATAAAATGAATATATCGATTGACACCGTGACCGTATTTTGTTGTGTAACACTTGTAGATCTCAAGTATTTCCTATCAATCTTCAGAAAATAACGAGAATTCTTTAAAAAATCCGCACAAAATCACGAAAACAGTAGATAGTTTGTATTATTTGATGAAAGGGAAATGAAAAATAGCAAGATACAATTGATCCTGATGTGAAACGGGTAGGAAGGTTTGCTACTTTGGAGGATTTCAGCCTGCCGAATGTTCACAATCCCAATTCCTCCCGAATAGGATCAATGAAATCTGGACCTCACTTGATGATGCTCTTGAACAATAGATGTCAAGGAAGAAATTCTCTTATGCAATCCTGTAGGGAGAAGAGCCCAACTCAAAACCTGAAATAAGTTTCAGGTTTTGGTGTGTAGAGGGGAGGACGTTGGGGGAGAAAACTCAGGATTTTGGGCTTTGGACAGCCTTAGAACTCTTAGGACAGCAAAATAAATCCAGCAGGGCTCAGCTTCAGCAGTCACGGGAAGGATTTAATGGAGGAGAATTGAGTTACGGGAATTGGGAAGTTATGCCAGCAAGGGGAATGAAGGTCTGACGTGAAGCTGGGAGGAAATTAGGGAGTATTTCCTAATTCCAATTCTCAGATTTTGGAAACTTAAAGGTTTTGGCTGAATTTGAATTATTTCCTAAAACTTGGACGGGAGGTTTCGGAAATAACAGCAATTGAAATCCCATGGAGAGAGAGGGGAAAATCTCAGATTTTGAAATTAATTCCAAAGAGTTTTGAGTGAATGAGGGAATATATCAATTGAAAATATGTGCCTCCATTTGATCCAGCATATTCTTCTGTTTTTATTCAATTTGACCAAAGCAAAAAATTCCTTTTCAAACAAACTTCAAACCTTGGATCAACAGAATCCCAATAGCAAAGTAATCCCAAGAACTAAGGCTTCATTTGAAACAAATTTTTTTCTGCTTTTTAAAATAATTTTTAGTGCAAAAATTTTTTAAACTATAAATTTTTGTACTAAAAAATTGCTTTTAAAAATAATAAAATTGTCTCAAATAAAACCTAAATTCAATACATTACGCAACATATTGCAGTCGTCCACCGCGGGTCATTATAAAGTCCAAACAAACAATTTGTTGCATTACAACCTAATTAAAAATCACAAAGACAATTAATTTTCATTGCAATTGAACAATCAATGTACAAACAAGTAATACCCAGCAATCCTATTTCCTGGAAGTTGGAAGATATTGTACACTACTCCTATTCCAGGATTTAGCCATATAAATCTGTACAATGTACATTTTTCTTTTCTTATATTTTCCTTTGTTCTTAGATACATAGAGACCAATAAATTGCTCAGTAAAGCAATTTGTGTTCACTTTATCATGATCCCTGCAAACTGCTACTATCATCTACTTCTGCTGCATTTTGTTTCAGAATTGAAGCGTTTGGATCTCTCAACAAAATAAAGTTCCCATAAAGGTCTGACTGATATTTCTTCATGTTTGTGTCTGTTACAATCCCACAAGATCGCCAGGTTTCTGCTTGCAGGTTGACTCCAAGATAGACAAGATGATCCGAAATGCTATTTCCTATCACAGACCTTGGATATAGAGAAGAAATCATGATTGTTAAATGAGGAGGAAAGTGGATGCTCATATAACAAGCATTTTGCAACATAGATGACGAAGCAAGTACCGGCTACACGACGGGTCTTCCCCGGTGTCGTCGCAGACTGTTTCAAGTTTGTACACCAGACTCCCTAATCCAATGTCATGAAGCCATACCTTGGAAAGGAAAAATTAATGCTCCATTGTGAAAAAAAAGGGGATAACTATAGCTTCGTTTGGGACGGTTTTTTTATTGCTTCTTAAAACAACTTTTTAGTATAAAAATTCTAATTTTTGTATTAAAAAGCTGCTTTACGAAGCAGCAAGAATGCCACCCCAAACGAAGATGTAGGAAAGATGGTTCTCGTCAAGAGTTGAATGTTCAGTTATCTGAGCCAGTTAAAGTACAAAAGCTGGCTGAAGTTGCAACACGAGAAACAAAGATTAAATATTATCACACCTATATAATGTTACTTACTTCAGTGGGGAAGTGATGGTATGTTTTGCGGGGGAAGAGAGGATAGTATGGTGGTAGATGAGGCACAATATCATGCCCATTTGTCACCCTAATGGCATCTGGTAGATATGTCTTGAAATATGATGAAAAAACACTATTTCCTATCCGAGGTTGTCCAAATGTCATAAGTTGAACATCTTGTGCTCCATAATTGACCTGTAGGATGCACAGGTAATTATAAAAAAATAAGAGAGCCAAAGCAGATCAAACAAACAGAAATCATCAGAAGAGATCAGATAACATTAACTATAACAGGAAAAAGAACTACTCTGGCATGAAATTATAGAGCAATTCAGGAGACTGATCCAAATAAAACCAATCTTGGTGGAGATTATTAACCTTTACTTCTATTTTTGCTAATAACACCAACATACCAAAATATGATTTCCAAGGCTGACATCAATGCTCGAGCAATATGATGGCAAATAACTCTAATGTAAATTTAGGATCATTATAGACTAAAATTATTAATAATTTTTTATAAAAGAAATGTTTAATAATTAAAAAAATACTATTACTTGATAACTATATTTAATAAATAATTTAATTTAAAAAAATAACCAAATACCCCTTGATTGAACAAATTAACCTCAAAATTTGATGTTAGGACCAAAAAAAGACCATTTTTTAAGGAGTTGAGGGACCAAATGTCCCTCATAAAGAGTTGAGGGACCATTTTAAACCTTTTCTCATTCATTTTCTAATCTAAATTTCTTTCAATAGCAATCATGTATTTTACAATCTTATATTATATTTTTATTACATTGATATCACCTTTTTTGCATCAAGGTCTATTTGCTATTGAATTATTATTAAATTATTCAAGATTTTTTAATATTTTTTTGCTATTGTACTATTTTTAATGTCATATGACTCCACGAGACCTTAGCTCTCTGGTAACAAGTATGGTTTAAATATATGCAACTAATCGAGTGGGCCCTCTACAAAAATTTTTTGAGTTTTTTAGGAAGTCATTTATAAGAATCATCCTTATCATATACAGGTTAACTTCTTTTGACTGATTCATTTAGAATGTCAAACATTCACTTAAGGAATAAAACTTTGATATGCTTTGCCATGAATGTGAAGTCCTTGCTCCAAATTCAAAGCTTACAGGAAATGAACGGAAGCATGCCCCATCAATTAGATTTCTTTTTTATTCCTAAATGTATTACATCTTCCTATCTATTGTCACTGTAATATTCTCAAGTTTTCTAAGTTCCCAATTTGATGTGATGAGTTGCAAATGTCAAGTCTTCGACAACCATAAATATAGATCAAGTACTGGCTTCAAGGAATTGAGCAAATTAATAAACCTCATTATAGATTTGCATTGATTATAGTTGTTACTCCAAAAATGTCTTATGCCAGATCTGAACCATCATATCAACCATACAAAATAAACCTTAAAATTTCAATTCATACTTGTTTGCACCTTGTTTTGAACGTCATAATAGTCTTTAGGTTTTATTAGACATTTGATCTTGATATTCTAGATCACATAAGCTTTTCAAAAAGCAAAGCAAATTTGCACACATCTTGTAAGTACTTGTAACAATCTTCGCAGCCATAGGAATAAAAAGCATAGAGCATGACCTTTAGTCTTTATATATATATATATATATATATATATATATATATATAATTATGAACAGGCAAAGAACATCTTGCCAAATCCCGCAATAACAAAATGGATAGAACTGCTCTAATGGATATTATTAAAACAAGATAGCATGACAACAGAATTGACCATGTTTAGATTCACTTCTGTTTTTTTTCTTGTGAAATTACATATAAGCCAACCGAAACCTATCAATTTATTAAAACAACACCTAGTGAAAAATGAACTATTGAGCCCATTATGCACGTGCCATATCAACTCATTGAAAATTTAATGAAAGCGAAAAATACAAGTTATCCTTATAAAAAAACTATATATAGTTTGTTGCATTTTTTGAGATTTAGGTGCTTGCATTGCAAATATAGATTACTGGATGCTAATTTTGTAAATAGCCGAATTCTAGATTCTTCAGCAGAAAGTCTTTTTTGTTTTCAAAAAAGAAACAATTAAGCAGAGAAAACATGTTTAGCAATTTTTTTTAAGGAAATATTACAACAAAAACAACATCAAGCATTTATACCACTATATGGGGTCGACTACACGAGTCCTTTTTCTCCATTGTGTCATGTTAAGAGTCAAATTCTTATTTAAATCTAATAAAGAAATATCATTTCTAATATTTTCTAACCAAGTCTTTTTAGGTCTACCTCTACCTTTCTTAACATAAGCCAAATATAATACATTAATTTTTCTAACCGGGTCATCGGAAGGTTTCCGTTTCATGTGACCAAACCATCTAAAGCAACTCTCTCTAATCTTATCTTCCACTAGAGCTACTCCAACCTTTTCACGTATAAGCTCATTTTAAAGAAATATTAAAATGGGATTTTCTAAACTTGAAAACACAAGTGTTTTCACATGTTTTGGTAATAGGCATAAGTGCTCGTTTTGATTAATTGTACTAATTAGGCTAATGAGATATTAAATAGACTAATTAGGGGTAGTCTTTATTAAGATCATTAAGATTTTATTGGTGTAATTATGCTAATTTACTCTCCCCTTATGAAAGTACTTATATTATATCAGGCCTATGCTAAAAAAGACAGAGATAAATCTAAAAAACATGACTAGAAAGTATTAGAAATGATATTTTTTATTAGACTTAAATAAGAGTTGGGCTCTTAACAGGACACAATGGTATAGTTGCCCCGCATAGTGGTATAAAGGCTTAATGTTGTTGTTGTTGCTGGTGGTGGTGTAATCATGCTAATTAGGTATGTAATAGCTAACAAGATAGAGAATAATTAAGGTGTTAATTACGTTCATCGCATTTAAATATCCAAAATATTATTTCCTTCATTGAGAATATTATTGTTGCGGGCTAGAATATACACATCGATAGAGTTATAATTTTTTTGTCTCAGCATTGTACGGATATCTAGCACTCAAACAAAAGAAAAAATAAACACTAGAATTTTTATGTAGAAAACCCTGGAAAAGGGAAAACCTATGGGGTTATGCCCAGTTGAAATGATTTTCACTAGTGTTTGAATAGATTACAGGTGACTGATTTGTTCTTGAAATTGAAGACGATCGGATCAGATTAAAATGGTCAACTGTCATGTTGAAATCTAATTACGAACGGAGGTTGGACGGAAGTCCGGCGTCAGTCTGTGGTCGGGCAGAAATCCAGAGTCAATCGGCGATCAGGCAGAAGTTTGATTAAGTCGGCGGCCAAATGGAAGTCCAGCATTAATCGGCACGCATGTGGAAGTTCGATGGTGGTGGAGGAGTCTAGCGGTAAGAGAACTCTAGTTTCACTTCTTCCTTCTCTTCCTTGTTTGGGTTCCCTCCATGAGAAATAGGAGGTTTATTTAGAGTTTTCTGAAAGTTGCACGGCCAGTAAATAGGAGAAAGATCAATAGTAAGTTAGGAGTGGTTTCAACGAACGAACGATGTTGATTCCCCTAATCATGAACCGTTTACGGGACATTTGAATGTCTTAATAATATCAGAATTCAACGATCTTAGGCTCGTAGGATTCGTCTCGTCTAGCCACTCAATTCGACTATAAGCATGTCATGCTTGGAAGTCGTTTGATCATTCAATTTATGGTTTGAACTCTCCAACTGCACTTCGGGTCTTCGAATTAGGCTCATTTGGGCAAGGATCGAGTCAAATTTGGTGTCGTTGGGTTCATATTTTCAAAATATTTAGTTCGACTATAAGTTTAATGAAATTGGAGTTCAAATTATTCTGTATTTAAAGTTGGAAGTTTTCAAGTTGATTTTGCCTCAAGATTCGTACCCGATCAAGATAATTTTTTGATGATACTTCACTTGCCCCCTATCTTCGAACATCAAAGTTCCAAAAGTCTGAAAATATGTGTTACAACATTTCAAATAGTTCGAATCATAAGACATGTCGGAAAATTGAGTTCCAAAACATTTAAAATGGCTGAAAATTGATCTCGAACTATTTAGTGTAAGACATGTCGGAAAATTGAGTTCCAAAACATTTAAAATGTCAAAATTCCTCCATTTTTTTCTTACTCCAGAGATTTTCCATTGTTTTTGATAGATGGCATCCCCTCCTAAAATTCAGTGCCCCTATTTAGTGTAGAAGCTCAAAGGAGTGACCAAATTTCTACCAAAATTCTCTTAGCCAAAGGAGATCGTCCTGTTGCTCAACGTAAGGGTATAAAGAAACCTCACAAGGTGGCCAAAGCAGACGATGTTGCCTCCACCATAATCAGTGATTCCTTGATCATTTTTAGAAAGAAATTTTACTTCCCCAATGATCATGTGATGAAGGTGCCTGAACAGATCATGCATGTTCTCATCCAAGATTTCATACTGTCTATGAGTTCAGTTTGCGAGCCGGGCTAAGATTTCCACCTCCCCCGAAATTGATTGACATTTTAGCGACATATGGAGTGAATTTACCACAGTTTTCTTATAAAGCCATGTCGATCATAATGGGGTTGATCGAATTTTTTAGAAATCGTGGGGCAGAGTTGTCTCTAGAGTGCCTTTCTCGAATGAGTCATCTTACTTATAATATGCATGGCAGTATCTCTTTCAAATATAAGTGCCTGGATATTCGCACTCGAAACATGTCAAAGAGCAGGGTTGGTGGATTCTTCTTTGTGCAAAATGATTGAAATCTGCTGAAAAAATGGGAAAAGCTGAAGGATTTACTCATTCCCCTTCATGCTGGAGCAAAGAATCTCCTAAAGATGCTCAGCCTTCCTGATATAGACACCATTTACTATGAGGTGTGTTATTTGAGCAGATATGTGGATGGGTATTTGTTTAAAGTGGGATTATCACCTCATGCAAGGAGATCTCATGCACATATGTTAAAAAAGTTCACCAAAGTTCCAAATGAAGCGGTCCACACTTCAAAGGTTCCTCTTAAACGATTAGGGAATGAAGGTGACCACAGGCATCTAAGAAGAAAAGAGTTGAGAAGATTTGGACAGTCACTGGCAAAAGTTATAATTATTCTTTATCCAAGTCACAAATTCCAAAAGATGTTTTGAAACATCAATGTGTTGAACGTCGAGCTGAGGAATTACTAAGTTCTCATTTTC